TGATGTTTATTCATTGTGGCAGGGTTTCACAGACCACCATGGAACTTCCCTGCAGCTCCTGAGGTTCCCCCGCAGGCCAAGCCAGAGCAGCTCCGCACTTTCGCCACGGGGAAAGACAATAGATGGCCGCTCCTCCGGTGGTGGTGACAGTGGCTGAAGCTGCAGCGAAGAGGAAGCGGCACGGTGGTCTCAGCGGAGCCCAGGCACTTCACAGACGCTGCTCCGGCTCCGCGTTGGGCCTCCAACTCCTGACTCGAGGAGTTGGGTTTCCGGTGACTTTGGTTTTTTGATCAGCAGCCTTCTTCTGAGCACCTTCCTTCTTTTTCTTTTCTTCCTGCTTTTTCTTTTTCTTTTCTTCCATCAAATGTTCCTCTTCTTGTGTTTCTATTTCTTCCTCCCTGGGCTCCGTCCCCGGTGGCAGCGGCTCCGTGGGGCTCCGGCTCTGACAGATGGCGTGCGCCCGACCAGAGGCTGCTTGACCTCGAGGCGGCCTACTCTCTGATTACCTGTGTGAGTTGGGTGAATTCCTCTCTTCTGGAGGTCCCCAAAATATCAAGGTTCTGGCCTGTCAGAAAGTTACATTCTTTACTTACCAGAAGGCCAGGTACCTTGTAATCACGTAGACAAGGTATCAGGCCAGTCTCTCCAAGGCGCTTTTTATTGGCTCCATAAAAGGGTCAACGTTAATTCCTTAAGGCAGTCTGGTCAGGTCTGAAAGTATGATTCCAGTCAAAGCCTTGGTAAAATAACCAGTGTTTTCAATTGTGTCCTGTTACAAGAAGAACAGATTCTTATTGAACTTATGCAAATAACTGTTTTGTCGTAAAATAACTTGTGAATAGTTTTAAAATCTTGGAGGGATCAAGTAGAGAGAAAGGTAAATGTTTTAATTTTTGTTCATAAACATATACTTTAGCAAACTGTTATACCTTAAAAGATTTTCTTAAATCTGGAAAACAAAACATTAAGAGAACCAGCAGTGTTTTAAAATAAAGAAATTGTAAAAACCTATAACTTTTTATCAGTTAATTCAGTTTTATGTAATTAACCCCCCCCCTTTTTTTTTTACCTTGGTTAACAATTTTATAAACCCATTAGTTTTTCATTAGAATTTTGGAAATTCAGTCTAATGGTATGAACTTAAAGTTATCAGGAACCTGTACTTGACAGTTTCTCCATGAATTTTTCTGAAGACATGATACTTTTTATAATTGAATTAAGATTATGACTGATAGCATTTATATTAAGACACAGATTTCACGGAACCTTACACAATTTTCGAACATATATTAATGTAGCTATATAATGTATCTATAAAAAAGAGGTTAAACTTTGTTTTTTGTTTTGACCATGTTTCCCACTTAATTCAGTTTATTAGACAAGTTCAGTTAGTTTTGATATCTTTTTTGTATAGCTAGTTTAAGTTGAAAAAGACTTAATTTTAGAATTTTGTTTTGGGAAGTTTGTTAACCAAAGATTTGAAACATTCAATTAGATAGGATCACAAATTATTATAAAAATAAAACCAAAGTGACAAAGTATTACAAAGGCAGAGAGCACAAGAAATTAAAATGATTAAACATGAAATAAGTTTCCCAGGCCAGTTACCTAAAAGATAAAGAGACTTTTTACAATTTTCTATTAAGAGCAGTTAAGTGCTTTAAGGAAATCTGGTTGTTCCAGTGTAGGAGAGCAAACTCTAACCCTGCATCAGAATACTTTTCACATTAATGTTTAATTTTTAGAAAAACTTATACATAATTTGCTTTTAATTTTAGCCAATTTTAAAAGTTTCTTTTATAAATTTAACCCGTACAACCCATTATTATGACTTACTCACACTTTCTGTTTTTGTCCTATATTTTTTACTTTTTAAACAGCCAGCCATTTTACTGTAGGACAAAAATACACTGTACAAGATGCTTTCTTACATATTTTTTCCTTATTAGCCTTCTTAACCATAACTACATCTTTATATTCATAGCTTTTTTATAACACTTTTATTTTTACATACTTTTAAAAAAAAATTTTGTTAAAAAAAGTTTTTATACCTAGCAGTTTGAATTATGTGTATTGACTATAATTGACTTCTTTGCTCCAATTTTCCAGTAACAAACCTATGAAGCAAGCAATTTTGAATTGTTTTATATTAATATTTGTAGATAAAAAAAACTATTTCTAACTTCTGAAGAGGCATGTTTTTAATTTTAACAGATTCAAATATATTTGGGGTTTTTTTGTATTGTATAAAAACAAAACATTAAAATATAAACAAAAACTTATATAATGTTTTAGTATTTTATTAATATAACACCTTAAGATTCCAAATTACTGAGAAGCAATTTTGAAATTATGATTTTATTTATAAGCATTTAACCCATTTACATTTGTCTAATATTTTTCTTGCATCAAACTACACCTTTATTAATTAACATAGGTTTTGTTTACAATGTTAATGAGACAGATAAGATAGAAAACTTACTAGTTTAAAAAGGACAGTTGATTTTAAATTGGATTTCTAAAAAATGCCAAAGCTTATCTCTTTTAGAGAAAGCAAGGTAACAAATTTACATTGCAAAGCAAAGTATATGGGACTTTTCAAGGAGACAAATTTTCATTGCAAGGCAAAGTATGCAAGCCTTTTCAAAGAAATGCAGAGAAAGTTTTCTTCTTAAAAAATGACATAGAACTCTACCATAGAATTTTGTGAAGAAATACATAGATGAGCCTACAAGAAAATTTAGAAGTCTGTTCAAAATAACCAGCGGGATGCCAGAAAATTTGAGACTTTCTAGTTAAACAGGTTGCTTTAGTTTATTCAATTTAAAGTTCTTCCAGTTACCTAAAATATACCCAAGGGGGGATTTAAACCATTGAGGAAAAAACCTATTTACAACTTTATATAGTTCCTTCTCTAGCCAGGTCAAATAGAGCAAATCTTCCCAAATATTTTGCTGTAATTTAGCTGGGCATTTGCCTTGTTGCACCTTGGCATTGCCTTTTCCCAGTGATCTTAAGGCTAAAAGGCACAATTTGGATCTTGTGACCCCTAAGTAGTAGCTTGAAAGCAGGCAGAAATAGTTGCCACATATACAGACAAAACACTCATGCATGTGCACACACATACATCCCAACGAGACATCTCAACCAAATTAGCTGGTCTCAGTTGTAACTTGTCATACTCCAAACTTATGGTACCAATCAACGGCATGGAATAGAGGGGCATCTGTGGCGTACACCCCAACAGGATTGGAAGGTTTGTTCAGATTGCCGGTACTCAACTAAATGTCTAACCAAGCAAGCAAAGAGAAAAGAGGAGCAGTGGGGTCCAGTTCAGCTCAGTCCCAATCGTCGGGGCCAACTTATTCCATAAACAGTAACTGATAAAAGCAGTTCTCCGCACTGTTTTCAGCATAAAGAAGAAAAGTGCCGACTAGATTTAAATCAGAAAAACAAAGCATAGCCAGGAGCCCTCCAGGATGCACTTATACAGAAGTGGATACAATCCAACCAAATAGAAGAGGGCTCTGAATATCAGAGAAAGATAAAGAAAATAAAGCATTGCCTTGTCAGAATTTAGGCCAGGGACTCCAGGAGAGATCTACCAGCAGCAGAGACAGGGGAGCAAAATAGTCCCAGTGGCCACTTGCCTCTTGGAGCTGGAGTCCTCGTGCCCAGAACTTTCCAATTGTTGCCAGTGATTAAATTAGGCTCTCAGATTCCAAAGTCATAGAAATGGATAACTAGAGCAATAAAAGTCAGAGACACAGAATGGCAGATACTTATCATGCCTCACTATTACATTACATATGACCACAGTTAAAGACATGCAAAGCTACAAAACATATATGCACACCCAGCAACACTCAAAAGACAAAGACAAGTGGCCACAACAAATTTTCAAAGAATTCCAAACCAAAGGACCTGACAACATCTCGTGGGAGTCCTGGACTTGGGAAGTAGTGCTGCATCCAGCCTTCCACAAAGTCCCTAAGTCAGAGCTCTGATACCCAAATGCAGAACAAGTTATTGAGATCTCAAACCAAATCTTACCTCCAAAGGTTTACTGAAATGAACTACTGAACAAAGACTCTGGTGCCTATTGAAGCCAATTGGAGCTCCCAGGCGGGAGCCAAAGGACCCTGGGGCCGAGGAACATCTTCTTGGTGCCTGGGGCTGAGGAACATCTTCTTGGTGGATTCCCCTATAGTTGCCGTTCGGAGCTTTGGGTTTTGGTTCCCCTGAGCGAAGAGATCCCGGACGATCCCCCAAATGTTGTGGTGAACAGAGGAATCTAAGATCCTTGTCAGTGTTGTAGTTTTATAGCTCTTTATTTTAGTGTTGCAGCTCTTTGTTCAGTGTTACAGCACCTCTTTTTGCTGGCAAGCAAGGAGAGCACTGGGGAGCAGGAACTCCTAAGCCAGTGTCTCCCAGAACAAAGGAAAAGACCCCCTTATATAGCCTAAATTCCTGCCCTTTTCCCTCACAGGTTCCTATTCAGGCCCTCTTATGTAAATGAAGGAGACTGTCCTGCTAATTTGGATTGGCTGATTGTGGGACACAGTCCATTGGTCACTTTAGGAGCCTAATTTGCCTCTGGCCTCTGGGGAATGGTGTGAGACTGCTATTATCTCATAGAGGGTGGGCCCAAGAAGCAGGCAGGGTTAATGGCAGGGGCCAGAGTCTACAGTGGAGCATAGAGTTTCTAAAACAGTTTCTCAAGTGGAAAAGGGAAAGAAAAAGGCTCAACAATTAAAAATGCTTAGGGTTCCCCGCAACAGTGGTTTTTAAAAACACCTACAGATACATACTTAAGTTTTTATAGGTAAAAGAAATGATGTGTGGTATTTGCTTTAAAATGCTCTGTTCCAAAAAAAAACCAAAATGGGGGATAGATGAAACAAGAATAGAATGTTGGTAATAGTTGAAGCTGATACTTGGGAGCTCTTAAAGATGGTGCCTGGGGGTTCATTTTATTCCCTCCACTTGGAGTATGTTTGAAAATTTTTATAGTAAAGTAAAAAAAAAAAAAAATTAAGAGACCAATGTCCTTTATGCAGAGTGATGAGAAGTCATAGAAGTAACTATTAATTAAATGTTTAGTCTGGTGAAAAAGTGATAGTTTATGATGGCTGTAATACTTAATAAAGATACTTCTTTAGGTTCCAGTTGAAGTAATAAGTGCATTATAGAAATTTATGAAGCATTAGATAATTCATTTTGGCCAAGGGTTAAATCTTTCATTATCTATATAGCCTTTAACTTATATTTGTATAATTTACCATTCAGTGCCTGTAAGGATATAGGAAAAAACAAATTCAGTTTCTCCTACTATACTCTCATAACACTCACCATATCTGTGACCTCTGTTCACCAAAATGTATAGGGATTTCTCCCCACCAACAAGTGAGCAATTCTGCAGATGATTCTCCAATAGATACCAGCCGGTTGTCCTCTAATTCAATTCTATTCTGACACTACCTGGAAATAGCATCAGATCTCACAGTTTGAGAGCTCAGTCCCACAAGACTGCCCCCCATTTCAGTGCCAATCACAAGCTCCAGGTTGTTTTACCTGTGTTTCTGACCAACCAGTTGTAAATCGGCATTCCCATGACTTCTCCTTGGGTTTGATTAATTTGCTAGAGCAGCTCACAGAACTAAGGGAAACACTTCACTTACATTTACCCACTTATTATAAAGGATGTCGCAAAGGATACAGATGAATAGCTAGACAGAAGACAAAAAAATAGGGTGAAGTATGGGAGAAGGGGCTCAGAGCTTCCATGTCCTGCCATTCTCCAGGAACATCCATGTGTTCTGCTGTCCAGAAGCTGTCAGAACTCAGTCCTTTTGGGTTTTTATGGAAGCTCCATTACATAGGCATGATTGATTAAATCATTGGTCATTTCTTTATCAAGTTGACCTTTGCCCCTCTCCCTCACAGGAGGTTGTGGAGTGCAACTGAAAGTTCCAACCCTCTAACCACAAGGTTGGTTCCCCTGGCAACCAGTCCCCATTCTGGGGCTACCCAGAGGCCTTGAGCCTTCTTCAGTCATCTCATTAGCATACAAAAGACTCTTATCACTCTGGAAGTTCCAAAGATTTTAAGAGCTATTTAGCAGGAAACATTATGAAGACCAAAATATATATTTCACGATGTCATAGTGCTCCACTCAGTATTTATATGTGTTGATTGAATTTCCAAGACGTGTGATATATATTTTAAAAAACCTGTGTTATATTTGGTTGTTTATATATAGGAATTTGCAAATGTGCATGTTCAGAATGGCACACTCAAAAATGCTTCTAGATTATGCCTAACAGTTAAGTATCTTGGAAGAATAACTGTACCTTTCCCTTGGTCTTTAGTGCGTAAGGATGCTTGAACCACAGATCTTACTCAGTATCACCATTTCTATTATGGTATTTTAAATATAAGACTCTTGGGCCGGCCCGGTGGCACACTGCTACAGTGCGCCGCTGAGGGTTCGGATCCCACATACAGACTGGCCGCTCACTGGCTGAGCGAGGTGCGGCCGCAACACCGAGGGTTGCGATCCCGTTGCTGGTCCCCGTCCGGTACGGGCGCAACACTGAGGGTTGCGATCCGTTGCCGGTCACGAAAAAAGACAAAAAGGAAAAAAAAAAATATAAGACTCTTTTGTAGTAGCCGTGTTGAATATATGGACTGCTAAAAATTATTATATTTGTGGCTTGGATTTGGCATATTTAACAATTGTTGATATAACTATTATTCAATTGTTTTAATAGAATACAAGGAACATTGCCTGTTTATCAATTATGAAATAGGCATTATGGGGACTATACACAAATGCTTTAATTTTAAATAATGCTTGCAATGTGAACACTTAGCAGATTTATTGTAAGTACAAAATATGGCAGAGATAACCAGAACATATTTCATATTCTGGGTTGCATATAGAGATGGCAACTGAGTCTCCATACACTTTTTTTAAATTTTTCTTTAGTCTTGAGTTGTTGAAAAATGTACCAAGGTATTTGTGAGAGTGAGAGTGGCAAGAATAATAAAAACTAGAATATTAGCTAAAGTTGTAATTAATCCAAATTGCTCTTGAATTAAAACCAGTAAATGGATCTGTGTGATGTTACTAAGGAAGAAAATAAACCTTACATATACATTTTAGATTGAAAATACCAATGAAACACTACAAAATAACTCTGGTGACCTTGAAATTTATATCCTACTGTTGACTGTTAATAGAAGGTCAACCATTTTTCTCATTTATATAATCTTGAAAGTTTTTAATGACAGCCATAAATGCATTGCATTACGGCTGAAAAGACAAACTTCTAATTTACCTTTTTTTCTTAAGTTTTTTTAATGTGGTATTATCTGTATTTTATTATAGTTACAGTAGGTATGCTGCCATTCAAATGTCTTAAGTGGAACTTGGAAAAACAAAAATTCTTAAATTATGTCAGCTTTCTGCTTTTTTGTGCCAAAGGGAGTTTTATTTCACCCATATTTAAGTGTGTTATTTCTGTCCTTCAATTTGTATAATTAGAAAAGTTGAATTCTTTTCTTTGTCCCATTTCTTAGTTGACGAAGGATCAGAGGTTGGTGTATTCGGGCAGACTGCTTCCCGATCATCTGCAGCTGAAAGACATTCTCAGAAAAGTAAGCTTTCCTACACTATTTGATACCAGCTACATCCAGAGTGTGAGAGGAGATAATATTCTGAGGTTTTATCCAACTAGTTCAGTTTTTAGATACTTAAAATTAATCCCTTTGGGCACATTAACAGGTAAAGGTAAATTAGGAAGTAAAGACCATGATAGATTCTGATTAGTTGAGGTAACAGTTTTATATATGCATCTGATAGCTAAATCTGAAGTAGATTATATGTTTGTGTTCAGGTATTTGGTATCTTTTGTAAGAAAACACTTTGGTTTAGTAGTGCAGGAGTAGAATATTCAGTAGTGGTGAAGGATTTTCATTGGTGACAGTCTTTACTCTTAATTCCCCTTTTAACCAAATTGCATGACATTCTAATATAGGTTACTTGGGTTGGGAGTTTAATTTCAGGGCAGGAAATAGAATGAAGCCCAACTTGGTCCACTAGTTAGCAAACAGTGAATGTTGGTACTCAGAGCTAAAATATATTTCCATACAGTTTTTTGACAGTCAGCTTGAAAATAATGCCAGTTATTTTAATGATGGTTTTTACCTCATGTTCGTTTGCGGAATTTATTCTTCTAGAGCTTTTTAGCATTTGAAATGCTGGTTTTTGTTTGTGATTGTGAATATAGCACAGGAGGTCCTGGAACCAATCCCATGAGGATACCAAGGGATGAGTGTATGTTTATGATCACCTGTGGAAAACTTAAAAAAAAAATCTTATACCAGTATATTCCTTCTGCTTAGATAGTTGACATCTTAGCTTTGCCAGTGTGACTTCTTGTCATTTCATTTTAATTATGTACTTTTAAATTGCTAAAGTGGTTTGATACCCACCCCCTCAATAATAGCGGAATTTGCAGCAGACTTTTTTCTTTTTTTTTTTTTTTGCAATAGACTATTTTTTAGAGAGGTTTTAGGTTCATAGCAAAATTGAGTGGAAGGCACAGAGATTTCTAATACCTTCCCTGCTCCCCCCATGCACAACCTGTCCCACCATCAACATCTCGCACCAAAGTGGTAGATTTGTTACAATCAGTGCATCTACATCGACACGTCATTATCACCCAAAGTCTATCTTTTACGTTAGGGTTCACTGTTGGTGTTGTACATTCTGTGGGTTTGGACAAATGTATAATGACACGCCTCCATCGTCACAGTATGATACAGAGTAGCCCTCAAAACCTCTGTGTTCTGCCTTCTCATTTTTTGCCCATTTTTATGCTTAAAAACCTTTCTGCTATCTGCTTTTTGAAATATGGATGTATTTATTATTTGAATCCATGGATAGCTTGAATCTGCACATGAATAAGTTTTTAAAAAGGCTTTAGCTGGCAGAAGTTATCTCGGACCAGATGATTTAAAAACTGCTTCAGTCAAGAATTCTTGTGCCCCTTATATGAAACATTTTTTTTTTTTTTTAAAAAGATGACCGGTAAGGGGATCTTAACCCTTGACTTGGTGTTGTCAGCACCACGCTCACCCAGTGAGCGAACTGGCCATCCCTAATGTGGGATCCGAACCCGGGGCCTTGGTGTTATCAGCACCGCACTCTCCCGAGTGAGCCATGGGCCTGCCCTATATGAAACATTTTGAATAGTATATTTACATTTTGAATAGATCTTTGAACCGTTTTTATTAAAGTCGATGTATTCCTTTAGTTTTTCAGTTAAATGCTGCCACTAGGTTTACCTGTTTAGTTGTAAAATATTTTATAGAAACATTCCGCAAAGGTGAATGAATTCTGTGAATTAATTGTGATGAAAATGACCTTTTGAAATTAGGTTTCTAGGTAAACATCTTATACTTGGATACTTTTTAATATTTTGTATTCAGAAACTAAGGGGACATTGTAAATCGGGAGCGCCTTCAACCTACCTTGGTAGGCACATCTTATTTCATACTGTCTCTGTGATGCCTTTCCTTAGCTTTCTAACCCCTACTGACTTTTGTAGTTTGTGCTTCTCAGTTTCATGCAAGAGACTGTTTATATATTTCTCTAATGCACTAGTCTGATCTCTTAATATCACGAGCCTCTTTAAGGAAGGGAATGATTCTTACCCTTTCTTGTGTTCACCCCAGAAAGGGTAAGCACCTTCACCTCAGAATTAAGCACAATTCTAGGTTCACGGTAGGCAGTGGAGAAATTCGTAGTTTCTGTAGCTGTGTTTCCCTTTCTCACCACTGGGGATTTTTCTTTTCTTCGTTCCCCTTTTTCTTTATTATTATGTTTCTTTTTTCTTTTTAAATTGCTGACTCCTCCTTCATTCTTCTCTGTTCTCCTTTATTTTCTTTTCCTTTCTCCATCTTTTTTTCTAGTTTTATATCTAAGTATAATTATACTCATCATCTCACTTAGCTAAAATGCCAACCTTAATCATTATTTAGAATATTTTACTTCAGTCATAGTTGTAGGTTTGTTGAAACCCATGGAATATTTACAGAATATAGTTAGAATATATGCTTTATATCTGTGTATAAATGTTATAGATAAAAACAGTTTTTGACTTTAAAAAAACATTGTAAAATATATATCCCTTGCTAAAGTTAAGGCAAATGAGATTATGAGGAAGTTATCTGAGTTTCTTTCGTAGTTACTAAGTCTCACAAATTTCCATTATTCAAAATGTGTGGGCCTGAGCTTCAAGGTGACTCTTACAGTTCTGATATTAAGGTGCTGGATGTTTTTATATTGAAATAATAGATTGTGTTGATATAACTTTACAGCATTGTTTGCTTCAAGACTGCTTGGTATGCAAAGTAATAACTTTTTAATATAGCAATTAGTATTTATACCATTTTCCAAGCATAGAAAAAATGTTGAATTCAAAAGGGCCCTAAATACTAAAGTGGCAAACTTACCTTCAAATGATAATAGTTTATTAGTAATAAAAATGACTGGTCTAAAAAGGAACTTAAGTTTTGAGTTAAGTGTTTCAGCTTAGCTACTGACTTTTTCAACTGTACGTTTTCCAGTACTACTTTTTAAATGTAATCTTCTTTAATTTTAGCAAGATGAGTATCATATGGTTCATCTAGTATGTACTTCTCGGACTCCTCCCAGTTCTCCAAAATCCAACACCGATAGAGAAAGTCATGAAGCATTGGCATCCAGCAGCAATTCTGTGAGTTGTTTTGGGAGGAGTAAATGTTGAAGTTTTCCTTTTTTGCCTCTAAAAACTAAATGAAAAACAGAAAAATTGGAGCTTGCGGGTTTTGAGATTGTGTTTTGAACAGCTAGAGTTAGGCATTTAAAATTTGTTTTTAGAGATCTAATATATAGTTACCCTTGAAGCCTATTCACCATGAGTTATAATTTGCTGTATGGAAGGTCAGTAATAGATCCAATCTTCAGGAGTTTGGTTCCTAGAATATTCAGAAAACAGAATTATGATTATATAACATAAACTCTCAGGCCAGTGAAGTTCAGAAATATTCAAGGTATTTAATACAGTATATTTTATTCAAGGTAGATTAAATTGCTTAAATTTTAAGTATTCTAAATCTCCTTTAAGTAGATTACTTGGTCAAGGATTTTGGTTTTTTAAACTGACTGGATTTGGGCATACATTCCAACTGCAAGGCGAAGAATTAATTAATATACTCCTCTCTTCCAGACTTGGGTATTCAGCTCTCCCTCCTTATTTTTCCATCTGCTTAAAATTGTTTTGGAAATTTCTTGTAATAGTTGAACTTCTCAAGTTAGACATTCTCTACAAATTTTAAAAACATTATCCCTGATCCTTTTACATTAAATTATTTTTGATTTCCCATGAAAGCTTTATGTGACACCTTTGGGGGTGAAAGGATTGGGATGAGAAGCTTGTTTCAAATTTCTTGGGTAGGCAGGGAACTTTTATAATGCAAAGTATGCTTTCCTTCTTGTCAAGAATCCAGCCAATGCTTTAAGGAGGGGTTGAGTGGCAGGGGTGGTAAATAGTTGAAAGATCTTCTAATAGATACTAAGTAACTGCTTCTTTTAAGAAACTAGATCCTACAGTTGCTGTATTTAATTGGTATAGCCTCAATGGTAAGTATTTTCTAATACCTTAGAATTTAGTTTATGTTAAACTGAAATATGCTTTGTCAAAACACACAAGGACCTTTCTATGTTTCCTGCCTTGGCATGAGAAGGAACAAACATTGGCATTGTCCCACAGTTGCATTGCTACAGTTTTTCTTGGGAAAGAACCCTCTGACTTAATTGACTTGTCTAGTGGTTCATCAGCCAAAATTTCATGCTATTAGTACTTATAGTCATGTGCCACATAACGACATTTCGGTCAGTGATGGATCACATATACAACAGTGTTTCCATAAGATTATTATGGAGCTGAAAAGTTTCTGTCACCTAATGACATCAGAACCATTGTAATGTAGCACCAATTATTTTACTTTTTTATAAATTTAGTGTAGCCTAAGTATACAGTATTTATAAGGTCTACAGTAATGCACAGTAATGTCGTCGGCCTTCACGTTCACTCACCACTCACTCACTGACTCACCCAGAGCAGCTTCTAGTCCTGCAAGCTCCGTTCATGGTAAGTGCCCTATACAGGTGCACCATTTTTTCCTTTTATACTCTGTTTTTCCTGTACCTTTCCTGTGTTTAGATATATTTAGGTACATAAATACTTACCATTGCGTTACAATTGCCTACAGTATTCAGTACTAACATGCTGTACAGGTTTGTAGCCTAGGAGCAATAGGCTATACCATATAGCTTAGGTGTGTAATAGGCTATACCATCTAGGTTTGCATAAGCACACTCTATGATGTTTGCACAATGACAAAATCACCTAATGATGCGTTTCTTATCCATTGTTAAGTGATGCATGACCTCATTTATGTTTTCATAGCATGTTACGAAAATCTGAAAAGTATCAAAGAAAAGTTAAATTGAATTTACCTTAATTTTTCATGGCTCAGAAATTTCAGGGAGATTTGAAAATGTCTTAAAAGTCTAATCATGAAAGAATTACCTAATAAGGTCAAAAAATCATTATTTCTAGAGAAATTAGGCTGTACTGCCAAATGGCTAGTCTTTTCTTCTATTAATTGTGTTAATGAACACTATATTATGATGGCCCATTTAGTGAGAAATTTTGCCAAAGAAGAAGCCTTTCCCAGTTTATGTCCCTAAGAATCATATTCGTTAGTAGGATATTTGGTGTCTTTTTTTTTGGCGGTTGGTTGGTTTGGGGATCCAAACCCGTGACCATGGTGTTATCAACACCATGCTCTAACCAACTAAGCCAACCAGCCAGCTTTGGTATCTATTTTGTGTGAAGTAGCATCTTAAAGAAAGCATTTGGTAGTTTTGCAACAGACCTGTGTGCTTGGGACAGTTCACATGGCTGGATTAGACATGCAAAAAGACATCCTGTCAATAGGAAGCAGTGCAGATAAAATACAATTTTAACAAACTTGGAAGGATGTTAAAATAAAAGCATACCCAGCTTTTTAAAGTGAGAGAACTATAACTTATATAAAATGTAATTGTGTTTTAAATTTGTATAAAACACTTGAGAAACTATTTTCAAACAGCAACAAATTGGGGTGGTTTTCAAGGAGTTACTCATATATTTTTTAAGGTTATTGAATACATGAGTTACTGATATCATTTAAACATGAGAATTTAAAAATCCTGATTGGTATCTTTTTTTATTTCGTAGATAAACAGTATTTATTTGTGGCATCTATAAACTAGTAGAATTTTAGGACTAAAGAATCTTGAAAATCTAGCTTCACCTTATTTTCTGTAAGAAAGCGGACACTCAGAGGTTAAGTGAAACTTTAAGGTTATATTCCTCGTTAATGTCAGAGATAACATTATTCTAGATCTTTTAATTCCCAGCCTATTCCTCATCATTTTAAACCAATGTGTTACCAATAGTGTATCTGGCACATAGTAACTGTTTAAATGACTCAGTAATGAGTAGCATTTATTGAGTACTTTCTATGTATTAGACATTGTGAGAGGAGCTTTACATGCATTAATTTAATCCTTACAATTTAGTATGCTATATTTGTGTACAAGGGTACTTTAAAAATTTGGGGAAAAATAGAATTAAAAAGTAATCTGAATCTTTCCACAAAGTTTTTGAAGTACACTCGTATTATTACTCTGTTACTCAGGCTTTTCTAGTTGAGAAATGGAATATTGTTGTTTAATTAAGCAGTTTTGACTTTCTGAATTCTTTAGTCTAATTAAAATTAAAATATCTACCTATTGTGCTGGACCCAAGATTCAAATGAGTAAATTTCTAAAATTCAGTTATTTATTATTATTTTATTTTATTTTATTTTTTTTCCCTTTTTGTCTTTTTTTCGTGACTGGTAACGGGATCGCAACCCTCAGTGTTGCGTCCGTACCGCGACCGGCAACGGGATCGCAACCCTTGGCGTCGCGCCCGCTCCGTGCTCAACCAGTGAGCGGACCGGTCTCCACATGGGATCCGAACCCTCGGCAGGAGCGCCGCCACGCTCCCAAGCGCCGCACTCTACCGAGTGCGCCACCGGGCCAGCCCGAAAATTCAGTTATTTTGCAGAGGGATTTCATGCATACATTTTAAGCAATATGTCTATAATTTCATGATTGTAATGAATTAAACCTCCTTGAAAAAATAATTACATTTCTGTTTGTAGAGTTCAGATCATTCAGGATCAACAACTCCGTCATCCAGTCAGGAAACCTTGTCTTTAGCTGCCAGTTCTTCCTCAGAAGGATTGAGGCAGCGTACCCTTCCACAAGCACAAACCGACCCAGCACAGAGTCATCAGTTTCCATATGTAATACAAGGGTAAGTGAAATCGTGGTAGCTATGGATCATGATTGGGGCTCCCTAAAAATCAATTACTTTATTTTTGATTTTTACTATAGCCCCTTTGTGGGAAAGTACATTTGAAATTTATTCATGTACCTAATTTTATATTTTGAGAACTAGAAGGTTAAGTAGAGCAGTGCTTTTTAAAGCTGATCATACATCAGAATCGTCTGGGCAGTGCTTTTCAGTTTTTAATGTTCCCACTAATCACCTGAGGATCTTGTTAAGATGTGGGTTCTGGTTCAGTAAGTCTGATGAGGCCTGAAATTCTGCATTTCTAACAAACTCCCAAGTGATGCTGATGCTTCTGATGCTTGGACTGCACTTTGAATAGCAAAGATCTAGTTAACTAAGTTTTTTTTTCCCCCCACTTAGTCTTACTCTATTGATCTACCCAGTTTAATCTTCTGGGGAGTGGAAAGGGGAGTGAAGGTGTATCTGGAAATGCTTCTGATGCTTGGACTGCACTTTGAATAGCAAAGATCTAGTTAACTAAGTTTTTTTTTTCCCCCACTTAGTCTTACTCTATTGATCTACCCAGTTTAATCTTCTGGGGAGTGAATAGGGGAGTGAAGGTGTATCTGGACGAGTATAGGGCCCAGCAATCTGTTTTTTAAAAATTACATAGGTGTAAAACCATGAGGTGTTATAAGGATATGCTAACCATTGCATGTTATCCAGAATCTTTGCTGTATTGAGGGTTCTGTAGAAGAGTTTTCTCAAGAAGCTTGCTATGACTGCCTTACATTTAGCAATTGTAGCAGGCCTCTTGGCAGTTCTGGAGGAAATGCAGTCAACAGCCACGAGTAAAGCACATCTTTCAGACAGCTCAGAGAGTAGGATCTTGGAGACTATGGCTTAGACCTGGGGTGTGTCTGAAAGCAGAGTATTTTTCTGGGGTATTATTACTTGTTAGTTTTGACATAAAGGAACCTGAGTTACAGGTAGTGACAGTCGTTTTGCATTGCTTATCAAGCCATGGGGTGCAGTGTGTGTCAATGATCTCAGTCCATGTTGGTGGGGCTGGAAATGAGAAAATGGCTAGGACCCTGCAGTGGTAATGTAGGTGGTGTAACCAAGGAGTAGCTATTGAGTGCTGTGCTAAGCAGGATGGCACAAACATTCAGGTGTTTTTTACTTAGGACTTTTAACTTAATTCAGTTCTTAATATAGAAGAACAAAGCTGAATATGTAGCAAAATATAAGAAAATTCATTTGTGTCATGTTTCTTGAATGTGAAGTCTTTCCTTTCAAAATAAGTGTTTAGATGAGGCTGGTTGTAGACTTTTATAAAGTACCTGTGAAACTATTTTTGCTTTCAGAAAATGATTACCATAAACCAATATTTAGTTATTTGTAAAAAGCAATGTTCTTAGGGCTTATGTTATGGAGTAGCTTAAAATACTTTCTATCTTATGATGGTTATTTATTTCCTTTTTTGCATAGTAAGACAGTTCAATTCCTCTCAATTTCTACAGAGTGATTTTACTAATTTTATTTGGTGGTAGTGGTGAGAGGTGGGAGTATTATAAATAAGCCTGGAAGAATACATAATGACATGTTAATAGTGGTTATCTCTGGATGATAAAATTTTTAACTCATTCTCATATATTTTGTAATAAAACAGAGCTAGTAAGATTGCAGGTCTTTAGAATAACATCATACATATCTCGGTGAAAGATGAATAATTTCCCTAAACTAGGTTGTTGAGTAAATCAATAAACATGAGAGACAAAGGCATTCAGCTCTTAGAAGTAAACAGATCAGAAAAATCTGAAATAGTGTTTATTTTGCCTAAAGAGAGTATTAAAATGGTAAGCATCAAAACCTTTAAAAGATATTTGAACTTCACTTAGGGAATCTATTACTGGATGACTATTTGATTGTAAATCAGGAGGGCAGTATAACTTAGTGGTTGTACAGATTCTGGAACCTGCCTGCCTGCAATTGAATCCTGGCTGTATTCACTCACTACCCTGGGCAAGTTTCTTAACTACTGCGCTTCACTTTTCCAATTATGTGGGGGATAATGGTACTTATCCTACAGGATTTCTATGTGGATTAAAAGAGTTAATTTATATAAAGTGGTTAAAATAGTAACTGGCGCATAGTGATGTATTAGCAGTTATATATAAATTCATTTGTCCTCATAAGTGAATGTTGTACATTCATTCAGCAATCAAATTTATAGGAATCTGTGTGTCTGGTACAATGAAACATTCAAATGAATGAATGCCAATGCCAGGTGCTGGAAAATAAGTCTTTACATTTGGAGAGAGCACGTTGTGATTTACAAAGCAATTGACGTGAAAGTTCAATAAATAGGTTATTCAGTTTAACATAGCATGATTTAACTTAATCTCATAGTTGTCATTTTTTTTACTAATGAAGACTTTATATCTTTCCTTTAGTAAATTTTATTTAACATAGCCTGAGTCTTAATTGTGCAAGAGCATTAATTTAGTGACTTTGAAAAATTCACCATTAAAATAAAAGCTCAGTGCAGCTTATATTTAACCAGTCTGTATGTATTTTTCACTTTGTAGCTTAGTATTGTCAATCTTTAGTGAGCTTATTAAAATTTCTAATTCCTAGTCCTTACAGGACTGCAGTTTTGAATCCCGCGTTTTGGGGTGGTACTCAGGAATCTGCTAACAACAATACCCCGGGAACCTCATTTTGAGAAATGGTAATGCAGGTGTTTGTCTACCTAGCTCTTTAGGAAGCGTGAGAAGAACAAAGTAGTACCTGTACATCACCACGTTGGCTATTCATTTGTGAAGTCACATTTATAAATCCTGACTGACTGGTTTTGAACTCAGTCTGTTGTGCTGTCACATTTATTTACTTTAACTCCAAAATTGGTGGTTGGTTAATGGAATACCCAGTTTTGTACATTCAGTTTTTCCATATGAAATGTACATCTTTGTTTTTATAATAAAGCTGAAAATCTGTTCATTGTTCCCTTCTATTTTGTCTGGTTTTTTAAAAGTAAAAATTGCTCGTAGCCTACCACTGAGAAATAACCATTACTAACATTTTTATAAATATCCTTCCAGACACTTTTCTATGTATACTTTTTAAATGGAAATATACTGTTTATTGTATCTTGTAAACTTAAAAACATAATATAGCTTGGATGTATTTCCAGGTCATACATAAATCTGCAATATTTAAGTCTATGATTTTTCATTTTTGAATGTACTAATTTGTTCGCTCTTCTGTTTATGGTTTTGCTGCATAATAACCTTAAAATCTCAGTGGATTACAACAACACACTTTTTTCTTGCTCACAGGTCTGTTAGTCACCCTGGACAGCCCTGCCTCAGGCTGTAGGTTGAGTTAAGATCTGTTTCATGTTTCTCATTCTCTGTGGATCAGTAATTCCCCAGTACATGTTTTTCTCATGGCAAATGACGGGAACTCAAGAGGGCAAGCTAACCAGTGAGCACATTTAAAGCTTTGTACATATTACGTTTAATAAGATTGCATTGACCAAAGCAGGTCACGTGGCCACTGTCAACAGCATTGGGGTTGGGGGAAGTATTGCAAAGTTACAGCCAGTGCTGTGCTGGTGAATGTTTAAAAGCTGGCTTTTCCAGGGGAATAAAAAAGCCCTGGGTTTGTAGCATTGCTCATTTCCGTGGTGTAAATACTACTACCATGGCTGATTTCAAGATACCCAGGGTTGGCTCACAAAATTCCTGAAGTTTAGTAGGCTGCTCTCATAAGCCAGTATGAGCCAGTATGAGCCAGCTTTGCCACTATGTGGCAGAGGGTGCGTGTATAATCCTGTTATAGAAGAGTGAAAAATTGGGGCAATCTTCTACCATAAACGTTGGGGTTTTTTCCCTACTAATCATCATCACAATCAACATTATTAAATGTGCTCATGCGTTAGCAGTTATTATTTTTAGCATAAGTTATGAGAAGAATTCCTGAGTTAAAGTCTTCTTAAGACTTTCTGAGTCTCTTAAAAGACTATTGCAGAATTGTAGCAAAGTTGTACCACTTTATTCTCCCAATAACAGTTGTTAAAGAGCTTGATTCCCTATACCTGTACAAATATATACTTGCCAGTGTGATAGATTGTCCTTGTTTTAATTTGAGATATGATGAAGAGGCATTCTTTTTGTTTTGTGAATTGCTGATTTGTTGGTATCTCTAAACATTCATTTGTGACAGTTCTTTATTTAAAAGGATATTAATAATTAATGCTTACTGAGCGTTAGCACAAGCTAAGCATTGTATTAAGCACATGCCCCCCACCCCCATTAAAAAAACTTTAGTCAGATCCATGGGTCAGATTTTAAGTATTGGTGACTGTGAGCAAATCTGTTCCTACAAAGACCCTGTGACTTTATCCAGTAAATGTTCACTCTAGAATGTGCTGTGTGCTAGGCACTGAAGATAGGAAAATAAATTCTGTACTTGCCCTCGCTGGAAGTAGGTCAGACAGGGAAATAAATGACCATCTGCTGATGTGCTGTCATGCTCTCAAGGAGCGTGCTGCGGAGCCTGGAGGAGGACGTGACCGTCTCCTGCAGCAGTGGGGAGGGTTCAGAGGTGGTAGCGTCTGAGCTGTCTCTCAGGGAAGTTGAGCAGGGAGAACAAAGCAAATGCAGAGAGTGTCAAAGAGGCAAATTGGGGAACAAAGTGGGGATTCTGTGCAGTTGCTGCCTGGCTTGTATGGAGTGGCGAGGGAAGTAAGGCTAACTTAGGTTTTCTGTGAAAGGATTTGTTCCTGATAGTTGAAGTTTTCAGTGCCTTTATCTTTTCTCCTCTGTAATTCTTAACTTTTTAGAACATACTAATGAATATGTTTTGGTATAGCTTTCAAGTATATAACTGTGAGTGACAATCTTTCTAGTTCTTGGTTTTTGCTATAATCTCTGTTGTACTCTTCCATTTCCATGTGTTAGAGTGAATTTTTCTCACTCCTGTTTTTCTGTTTTGTTTTTATCCTATAGAACTAA